TAGTGTGTTGTCAGGTGCGCGTCACACGAAAAAGAAAGATATTAGTGTTGCAGTATATATAGCACAAAACAGGAGGGCACACAAAGTAAATATAATTTTGGAACATTTGCAACATCGATCCTCAACTAATCCCCCAATGACAACTATACAAAATTTTGTTAAATCGTCACGTGACCTTTAAATGTCTAATGATGGTGCTAAAATTATATGTTTGCAAAATTAAATTGATGAAGAAAAAATCTATAATTATTTCTAAATTGATGGGAAGATTTTTCAAAATAACATTCCATAATTAGCATAAATATTGGAAAATGTTGAAAATATGTTAACAATACAAATTAACTAAGTTTAAAAGGCCATAATTTCATTTAATTTTTCTCTTTATTTTGCTCGACGAGTTCATATTTAGAGAAATTTTATTCCATGTGAAGAAAAACACAAGCAGTAAAAAATCGTACTTGTCTTTCTTTATTAATCTTGTTTCGTATAAATATAACTAGTGTACAATAAAATAGATCTTATCGAGGGAACAAGAATGTACATATTCACCCTCCTTAAACCTAAATTTAACTCTTCATATCTCTACATAAATGTTGGTTGTATCTTGTATCATTAAGAAACCTAATTAAGTCATTTCATTTCTAAATTCTTTGATTGCATGGAATATTTTTCTTTTTCGGTCGCTCGACAAACATTGATGAAATTTTTAAATTAACTTTACAATAATTCTACTGGAGCCTGGCCATCGATAAAGTTACAACTAATTTCAACGTGATGGCATCATGATCAATCTATAAGGATTTTCAATAATATCATGTTAAGCTCTTGTTTGATAGTCATTGTTTTGAAAATATTGAATTTTGAATAGTGGTTTTTTTGAAAAATCTGTAGTTAAAAAGTATGAGAGTTTTTAAGTTTACGTACAAAATATTCTATTGTGTAAAGAATAATGCTACTTGCAATCGCTTACTGCAGCAGTAGCCCTATGTGGCACACACATGTCAAGTGTGTATTTGATGCATTAAATGTAGTAAAAAATTACCACATTAATGTATCAAATAACTACATGTCATGTGTGTGCCACATAGGGCGACTGCTGTAGTGAGCGACTGCAAGTAGCATTACTCTTGTGTAAATGTGTGATTGAAAATGAATATGAACATTAAAGAGAGTTGAAATAATAATTGTCAAACATGGGCAAAATTGTTACAATTTCCTTCTTTAGTGCTACTTTTCGACTTTAAATGAACTAATGGTCCAATACCATAATTAACATTTATTTTTATCTCCATATTGAATATTTTCTATTTTAAACTGACCGGGGCAGTGATTTTTGTACCCGCACTGGCTTCGTCCGCCATCATTTTGTAAAATTGACACAAATAGCCTTAGATTTTAGCTAAAAACGATTAATGGAAACAAAAAAATGCAGCCGCATTTAGAAAGCAAAAATATTTGCCTGAACCTGAAATTCAATCGAATAAAAGAAAAAAAAAATGTGAAAAATTAACTCGTTCACTTCAAGCAGAAAGTTTGAATGCTAGAATAGACAGAATAATAAATGACAGGATCGAAAATTTGTTGCATTTTATGGAAATGGCATTTGTACACTTGGCAACTTCAATATGGGCAACGAAATAAGTCTCGCTTACACATTTAGCCTCGATTGATTTAGCTTAAAAGGTTAAATCAAAACCAAAATCAATAATTAATTTTAACCGCATCTGCCATTTTTGTCAACATTTCAACTACATATGTCATTAATTTTTATTAAAATCTACTAAAAATCTAATTTTTTAACTGTACCAAACGTGAGTTTAATTTTTTGACTTGGAACTTTGAGAAAAATTTCAATTGGATGGCCGTCTTAATTAAGTCATTGAATTTAATTTAATTTCAAATTTCACCGCTCAGTCGTCTTTCAATACCAATCGATGTTCATCTAAGCTTCAACACCTATCTAGACAAAAAGTGTTTGTCAAACTTTTTAGGAGGAATTACAGTAGATCCCGCAGCAAGTACAAGTAATATACAATTTTGTTATGGGTTAATCCATTTGTACATAATGATTTGTACATAATGGATTATCTCCTCACATAATGCACGGGGCCCGCGTGTATTAAAAATTCCGACAGTGTACCTCTATCCCTATTGTAAGTAGTAGGTAAAAGTTTTGATACATGTAGCATGATCCGTCTTGTTATATGTATATTAAGACTATCATAATGACTTACATAATGTCGCATGACACTCTATCATTGACCGTTTAAAACAAAGTCGGCTCTTTCATCCCATCATTTTCCTCAAAACTCATATTCTGGACAATTTCTTATGGTAAAAGTAGATTAATTCAATAAATAAAAGTGAACAGAAATGTTCATCAATTAGTGCTCATTACTAAACACTGCTGAAGATGAAAATATTGCTCAACACTTGATACCAAACAAGACCTTAATGTTGATGTTACATAAGTATAACACCAGCATCCAAGAGATCAAACAATCGAGCAATAAAATTGCCTACAAAAAACCTTTATCCTGTCATTACACAGATTTATTCACAACAACTTGAAGCGGCATACATCTTATAAAAGCCAGTTAAGAGTAATGTTCCCGAGCCATATGAATAATGGGAACAGAGCCAAGGCAATGAGCAGTAGGAGATAATGACGCTTGCTCGAATCATAACTCCTCACTTCGGCAAAAAGAACTCTCTCCATTGTCTTCACCAAGAAAATCCCCATACATAAACACGTCCATGGCATCAGAAAGTAGTACGAATAGTACCAGACAATCTTCCCCAAGATAGCCAGAGACAGTCCCATGAAAGTGTATCCAGCATATGCCACGATATCAAGCAGAGGAGCCTCACCACTACCCAATGTAGACAATGTTGCTTTCAGAAGTATAACTTGCAAACACCAGCCTACCAAGCCCTTGGCGAACAGCCAGTTCAAAGCTTCCGGGCAAAACCTGGGAAGCAACAGTAATTACAACAAAGCTTTTATAACATTTGAGAGTGAGCAAATGCAGAGAGAGAAGGCAGGAAGCATGCTAAATTCAGAATTTAAGAGATGGCGTGAGGTAAAAGAACACATCAAAACGACAATCGGGGGTGGGGGAGCATCTGGAAAATATTGACAGATCAATCGATTTTAAAATAAGCTGGGCATGTTCTCTCCTCGTATAAAGGAAACTGGCTTCAGACGGAAGATAGGGAGGACTGCGAAGAATACCAACAATAGAAATTGAGGGTAACTCATTTAAATTTACTTTACATGAAGACTCGACAATAAGAAAGCTAGACTGACAGGAGAGGAGTGGAGGAGAATATGCAAGATAATATTCTAATTATCTACAATGCCATGACAGCTATTTCAAGATGGTACGAGAAATATATCCAGCCTAGAACTACTGAATTAATTTCTCATCTGCACTACTCATATTCTCTCCAAGAACCATAAAGCAAGAGGTTTACTTCGCACAGAAACAATAGCAGGCTACAGAAAGGACACTTAAAAACACATACAAGATGGCTTGACAGACTTACTTCCCTTGAAGACCCAATAAGAAGCCAGCAAGAACAACATAGGTACCAAATGCCATGAATGGAATGTACAAGTCTGGAGCATTGATATCGTAAATTGGGGGCTTGTAGGAGAACCTCCCACCCATTGGCTCAGTGATTCTTGTCCAATGACCCTGAGTAAATTAAGAAACAAGATAACTACTTTAGAAATGGAGCAGATCAAGTGCAAGATAAAACATTATGGAGGAACAACTCTTACCCTGTGAAGGAATGGGAAAAGAACAACCTTCAATTTATTCCTTACATAATGGTCATTCACTTGGAAATAGTATTGAGGGTCAGAAAAATACCTGCTCATCTGTTATTTCAATGAACACAACAATGAAGAGAAATATTACAATAAAATTCTAATTTCGTGGGGCATAAATAATAGCAAAGAACATCACATTTATCAGCATCATCAAGCAATACAAAGGTCACTGGTAGTTATCTAACACCCTTCAAAACTATACAAAATAATTTCTCATCACGTGCCCCATAAGCTCTTACATTGCTTTGCACATATTCAGAGCTAGATCCTAAGATTTTCCCTCCGTAAGCACCCAGTCCACCTCTAATAAATCCTGAACTAGCACCATAGAATGTATTCCCAAAAGGATTTGGCTGTGTGTTGGAAGATGGTATCTGCAGCCCACGTTGAGCTCCAAGATTATCATACATTTCTGAAATAGGACAACAATTAGAGTATATCATAACAAAAACTTTGCAAGAGAAAATCCGAACAAGAAAGAAGTTACTACCCATAAGGTAGAAGACGTATTAATTGTCCAAAACAATCTACAACTAATACTCAAAAATGAATCGTGTGTTATCAATGTATTCATATAATGTGAAACATATATATAATCAAGATTTCATCAACACAAGTATAATTGCATCACATAATAAAAGTTGCTTATTTCAAGTCCATCTAGAGAGTAGCAAACAAAATCGAGATTCAAAGTATCCATGTATACTTATTTCGTTTTGCACTGCAGCAACATCATTAGAAATACAGAAAATTATCAAATAGCCTGTTTATGTACTGGAATTTACCTAACAAAAAAAAATGGCCCAGATATCGAAGCAGTGGTTTTCTTCTACAGAAAGCAAACTCCAAATTTGATATGTTCCCCACCCCCCCACGCCCACCCCCCCCCACCCCCAACGCCAACCCAAAAATAAAATAACAATAATAAATAAATAATCTGAAAATCATTCCAACCCATTGCGATCTTTAAGAACTTAACAATTGAAAAAAAAAAAACCTCCATTCTTTTAACATTACATCAATCGGAGAATGATTTTCTGAAAAACCTCGGTAAATTGCTATATACATAGAAATTGGATTTCAATATTATTAGAGAGAATTATATAAAAGATTCAGTCCAGAATAAATAATTAATTAATTGGGGAAATTGGTAATCCATACCCGGCAAGAATTCGATAGAAAAATCGAGAGATCCTGGAAGTTGGGACTACTGCATTTTTATTATTTTTCAGTTTTATATGTCGGCGGCATTAACTTGAATTTAATGCACGTGCATTGCAAGTGCCTTGTGTTTAACAAATAATCAGCTTTTGGTCCCTAATGTTTTTTTAGAAGGGTTTGCATTTGTGCCTCTCAGTAGGGCTTTTGTGCAAAAGCACACTCTTGACTCAAAAGATCAGTCTGATTTACGTCCCTCTTGTTCCCGGTCTTCTTCTCGTTCTATAATGACCTTAGCTGCATTCCAAGTAAAAGTTTAGTTAGTAGGTTTGTAACCAGTTGAGTAGGAATGCTTTTGAGGTGAAATCCATCGCTAACGCAACCACTCCAAATGGACTATTCTGACTAGTCACGTGCAAACATCGAGCTGAAAATTCTCTCTAGTTATAAATTGATTATCTTCCCAAGAAGGGAATTGTTCTTTTCCATTTATTTAGCGTTTTACCTTTAGAAAGTAATTATTGCTTCGTGGGGTTTGTAATTAGACCTAGCTCGAGAACCATTCCCTTTAGAGAGAGAGAGAGGTTTTCTATTAGAACCTTACGATTTCAAGGATTGGATTGAAGCTCGGGAATTGAGCCTACCATTTTTAGATTAGATCTCCGTCCGCTCTTAGCTCACATAGTTTGTAGTTTCGTTCTTACGAAGTCTAAAAATAATAGTAGTTCTGCTCCGACATAATAGTAGTTTCACTCTGACTAAACCTGGTGTGGTAAATTCTCCTTTTAGCCTCATGAAAAACATATTTGTCATGATTGCGTCAGTTTCTTGGTTGTGAAAAGAGGGTGGAATATATAGTGGATTGTTGTTCTCACAAGAACTATAGTTTAATACTTAATTTATTATTTTTAACTTCTATTTAATGGAAAACAAATAATTATGATTTGATGTGATTGTGATTGTGATTGTTTTTCTAATTATATTTACTAATTAAAAATAGAAGAATGCATACAAAGATTGATTTAAATTCAAATATGAATGGATATTATGGCATAACAATTTCATCTATTGATCATCTTTAAATCTTAATTCAAAATTCATAAATTTAATGTAGTGTTTGATCGAATTCTTCTATTGTATTCAATTTACCCCTCTAGAGTTCGCACTCAGTCTATTTAACCAATTCAATCGCATATCTCTATGTGAATCAATCTTACTCAAACACACTAGTTGTTCTAAAAATCTATATAATGACTGCAATAATTAGCATAGTGATTTCTACACATTATATTTAACTATCGAATTTTAATACGTGATCTAAATCTAAAACTCACATCTCGATTCTTAGAAGATTCACAAAAACATTGAATTATTGATCAAATAATTCAAAACATTAAATACATAAATAAAATCAACACATATATGATAATAGAACTTGAAACTTGAATACAATAAGCCTCTGTTTGGCTCCCATTAAATTAAATTATATTACATTAAATTTTTTTCTCTCTTCATTACAACCACACATTCATCAAATAAAATAATATTACACACAAATCTAAAATTTTCATTACTTTTCCACCACACATTCTTCCATCAATCACTATTCCAAACATTTTCAACTATCAAAAATGTCAAATGATGGGAGCCAAACAGGGGCTAAATTAAGGGTCTCAACTAGATTACATTGTTTACCCTAATGAAAAGTTTATCTACTCATAATGCATGAAAAAAAACAAATAATAATAATAATGGAGTACATCACCGGGTTTTGAATTGAGATGTATAGAAGTGGGTGAATCATGCACCAAGTTCCTCTTCTTGTTCCAAATCTTAATTCAAAACCCTTGACTTGTTGTTCTTCTCCTTTGATTTTGTTCTCTAATTCTCAAGTTATATTTTATGTCTCTCAATGTGTGGAACCCTCAAGTGCCTCCATTTTTTGTATTTGTATTTCTCTTATTGTTTTCTCCAAATTTGGAGTTTTCATAGCCTTTAAATGGACAAAAAATGCATGCCCTAGATGACACCAGGCAGCGCCTTTCGTGGAAAAATTGACAAATATGTGGTGTTGTGGAGTTGCCTCTCGGGAAAAATTCAGCACTGCACATCTTTTAATATTTTTATCATGACTTTCTCTCCCGATATCCGATTGATGCGATTCAAATTGAGTTATAAAATAACTCAAATGGTACTTTACTAAAAAGTAACATTTTTCCAATTCGAATGTTTACTATGTCAAAAATAAGTCTCAATCTTGAGCTAAAAATTTAGAACATATTTGTACAGTTGAAAATTGATTTGTGAATATTTTGATCATATTTCATTCATTTTTTACTTTTAATTGCATTCAATTGACCTATAGCATTCTCGAATTTGCATCGTGATCGACGTGATGTTCGACACAACTTTTGAGTATTTGCATTTTAGTATCCAAACTTTAGATCTTATCCCCTTTTTGCCAATTTTCATCTCTTTCTTTCAAATTCGCTCCCTTTCATCGAGTTTCGCCAAATAAATAAAACATACAATAAATGAGACTATAATTATTCAAAAGAACTTGGAAATGTCTATATTTTAGAGTCCGAATAAGTGTATAAAATACGCTTATCATGTAATAAACAAGATTTTAGATCGTCGATTTAGCTTTTCATTATTTTGTGTCTAATAGTACCCAATCTTCCATGTCAAGCATGTCACAAGGGGACACGAGACACGGGATGCATAGGAAAATGAATTAGAATCTTGATTATTAATGTGCTTCAACGCGTGTGCATGCATACATTTGTTGCAAACTCGAAGGCAATAAGTCTCTGAAGCAATAAATAAACTAAGCACCCCATGTACCTGACATAAAAGCATTCATCAACTCTCAACAAAAAAAAAAAAAAGGTTGAGCCCCAACCTTGAGAACCCTCCACCAACCCAACCTTAGAGCATTGTGGAGGAGGTAAATCGCGGGATGTACCTCAGCAGGTCAGGATACAAGAGTTGTCATATTGGTGCCCACGGAGAGTCTAATTTCATACCTTATAGGAGGCATGAATAGAACCTTCACACTGCGACTGCCAACTCAGCAGAGATTACCTCACTCTGTCCTTTGCACCACTGATGAAAGAAAAAACTTAAATTCAATTCCTACCACATATTTTACGCTAATGCCTTCTCTAGCATGAATCTTCAATGAATAAATAAAAGGATGAAAATCACATACAAGTATTCGAACTCCTCTAGCATGTCGTGCTACTAATATCGACATTCAAGGGTTGAGTCAGGAGAGACAAATAAATATATAAATCTACTGGATTGATACCTAAAACAAAAAAAACAAAAAAACCTTAAAAAATAAATGCTTTTGCTGGGCAATCCTAGGCCTTCCTCCCTTGTCGACATTGACTTCTTAATCCAATATTGGACGTAGGTCGAAAATTTGTATCCTCTCGATTGGTCAAACCTTTTTAAAGAGTAAAATTTCGTGCCTATGGATTGTTGTATATAATGTTAATATATAAGTCCAAAAACTGGAAGTCGAGAGCAATACTTTTCAATCATAACTATTAGCCGGTGTCGAGAAATAGAATTGCAACCTCTTCTCTTGTCTACTTCCCAAATTGAAATAGATCCGAATTTTAACCAAATAAAATTAAGTCCTTGTTTGATCCACATTATTTTCAAAATACATCTCTCTCGCTCTCCTTTTCAATCACACATTCTGCAATAAAATAATATTACACGTGAACCCAAAACATTTCCTTATTTTTTAATTACACAATCTCCATCAATCTACAACTCCAAAATGCATTTTTAACACAAAAAAATGGAGCTCAAACAGACACTGGTTAATCTTTTAAAACATGATGAGAGTCGAAGAACTAGGGCTCTTCTCAAGTTAGCCATGAGAAGCAACGATAAGGCCAACAGCAACTTGCTTCACACTATACTGAGATATGATATCCAAGATTTCAAGAATCTAAAAAATAATAATAATAAAAAGTATGATATCTGATCATTCTTCAAGAGATGTGACGGTTTATCTACTCTATATTGAATTTCATTGTCTTTCTTCAACTATATAATCATCGATCATTTCACTTCAAGCTGATCAAAATTTTATTGAATTATTGTAAAAACGTGATATGATCACGAAGTGAAATCGACCACTCGAAATTCGGTGACCGAACTTACAAATTAATATAAATTCATTACAATTTTGAACGTTTTCAAGTTCATATTATTGACGCGACATGTTGGT